CAAAAGTACTCGTGATTATGTACTTTAACGAAACATAACTTTTTCGTTATAGATCCATTTAGGGTCTAACTCGTGTCCATGCATTCGTAGCGACGACTACTAATTTAGTACGAAACCAATAAAATGAAATTGAAAGCCGAAAACCATGCCCACGTCACATTCCACTTTTGTCCAAAAGGGTATGACCGTCAAATTACACCAACAAAAAGAAAATTATAGTGAAAAGTAGGGACGGGTCGTCACATTTCTTTTGGTTAGTTTACGTTTTTGGTAATTAAACTTTTTGTTTTACTCTTTATCTTTTTCTTTTTTTTTTGTTATGTACCTCTAATCCAAGCATTCGGCCTATTAATATTTTTGTAAATTTTAATTATGTTTATATGTGTTGGAAAGTGGATGCTACTTGCTATTGTTCATGGACTTTAGGTAGGAACTTGTATTCAAAATGCCATGTTGTTTGACAATTGCATGAATAACATTTAAATCATTACTTCACGCAAAGTGAAAACGAAAAACATGACAACTTTTTAGGACGTGCATGATAAATAAAAAGTTCCTCTTTGCACAATACATTTAAAATATATCTTGACAATTACAATGAAAAAAAAAACTAACACAATACACATTTAGGGACGTGTAGCTTTTGTGATGCAAAAATGCCTCTCGCACGCACATTAGCGCGGAGAGGCTAGTAAATTATAAAAGGCGAAGAAAGGTGTTGGAAAGAAAGAAAGAAATATCGAAGAATAAAAGCGAAAATTTTGAAGTCAAAACAAACTTGAGATAGTTTTTTATTATTTAAAATCTAGTTTTCTCTTTGTGCATCATTCTTGCACCATATAATTTCTCTGTATTCTAAGCACAAAACTGAGTTAAATTAGAAAAGAAAAAATAAGGACAGGCGAAGAAAGGTATTGGAAGGAGGGAAAGAAATATAGAGGAATCAATAAAAGCGATATTTAAAGTCAAAACAAACTTGAGATAGTTTTTTATTTTTTTAAATTTAGTTTTCTCTTTGTGCATCATTCTTGCACCATGTAATTTCTCCATATTTCAAGCACAAAACTAAAATCTAAATGCTTACATGCTCATAACGTATTTAGTGTCCTCATATAACTTGTATTTATTTTTTATTTTTATTTTAAGAATGTGTTTGGACCCGAATTTACATTTTCGGCCTGTGCAATCGAGGCCATTGAGTAAGTATAGCTTCATGCCGTCGAATGAGAAATAGATGTAATTCATTTTGTTATTATTAAAGGATAATGTTATGATGTTTTATCATAATTATCTTTTAATAATAGTTTTTTTATGAATGAAGAGATATGTATTTCTAATTGGAAACATGTCAGCACAGTTCAAGTTGATATCCGGATGTGGGTATGCGGCACAGTTCAAAATGGATTTTAAAATTTATTTAGTTGGGATCAGGATACATGATGATGGCCTTGGGTGATGGATAAGACAAGGAGTCTAGGTAAGCTAGGCTATGATGATAAGAAGACTTTTATTTGGATAGGCTTTTATGGGGTTTAAAAAGTCACGAAAGCTGGAGGATATGCTTTGGCATTACACACGGATCAATTTCACAGAGTCGGAGTTGCAGTTGGACTTTACACAGTTATCCAGCCGTGCCAAGCAAGTACAAAATGCTATAAATACAAGATGCTCTGCGACAGAGAAGACCAGTCTCCAATTCAACACACAACTGCCCTGCGCAAATTCTCTCAACAACGTTGAGATTTTTTCTTTTCTCTTTTCGCCGACACACCTCAGTTTGGATAAACAAGACTGTGAAGGCAACCGGTGATATCTTCAGTTGTCATAAACAGCACTGTCGCCGTAGAATCAGTCGAACTCGCAGCATCTTCAATTGGCATAAACAGCAAATCAGCCGAACTCGCAGCATCTTCAATTGGCATAAACAGCACTGCGTCGAGGGCGACTGGTTATCTATCCAAGTCTCGGTTGAGAAGGATTTCCGAATCCTTATTGGTCGAGGTCATTTTATCAGCCTTCTCGGCGAAGTGAGGTGTTACAGTTTATTGGGGCTCAACACATTGCACACCGAAAATCTCGGTATTAGTTGGAGTGGAGTTAGGATATTTAAACTCTTCTATTCTTAGTGATGTGGACGATGTGGGATATTTCAACAGATCACTACTTAGTTTAGTTTGTTTTTGGTTTACGGTTGTAAAGTAGGGAAAGGGCTTTAGTTAATTGGATTTGAAAGCGAGTTTAATCAATTTCAGTTTTACGTACTTTTTAAAATATAATTTAGGTGATTCCTATAATGTAGATAATATGAATGGACCATATAGTTGTCACATTGCTTATGCTTCAATCAATTTACTCATCTTAAGATTACAACGAAGAGAGGTGTGGTACGCATAAAAAAAGTGTGCATTAATTATTCCTCAAACTATATCTTAGGTCCATCACATATCAATCTCATTGTGTACCCATTTTATAAAAGGAAAACTAATGAAAATGGCTTAAAATTTTTGAGTTTTAACAAAAAAGACAAAACAAATGGTAAAGTGAATAGTACCAGGATTGACTTTTTAGTGTAAAAATATGATTTTTTTTGTTAAAGTAAACAGTTCCGGAAGCTTTTTGTTAAAATTCCCTTTTATAAATTCAAACTTGATAGGTCAACAGGAAATTCACCACTGTTGTAGAGACATCGACAGAGAATAGTGCTGCTCATCTCTAGCTGCTTTTGCTTATGCTGAAGAGTGTGTGTCTTTTTTCATTCTATTTATTTATTTATTTATTTATTAGGAGGGTGGGTAGGACATAATTTCATGTCACATTATTCCTCAGTTATAATTTAATGATGGTCTCAAAGCTTTAATAAAAAGTAATACGTGACGATGGGATCCACTATCATCCTAGTTGGAAATCAAAATGCCCTCTCACCTCAAATTTTCAAAAACAAGTAGTGGATAGACTAGAGCAGTGACTCGTTAATTGTATTCGTCCAAATCTTCATTGAGAGTCTTTTGTTTCAAGCTGATTTCTAACTCGTCCAGAATAATAAAAAGAACAATCTAGCTAATTTATTTCTTCGTATATTTAGGGCTTATTTAGTGCAGGTTATAATCCTCCTCATCACTGTCAGTGAGTCACCTTGGTTTTAAAACCCAACTGCAAATTGACCTCTCTCATAACTCAGAAAACGATAGAAATTGAATTATTTGCAGGGTGTACCAAGGTGGGTATATATTCGATCGCATATTTTATTTATTTATTTTTTGGTTGATTGATGGAAGCATTTTTTTTCCGTCTCTTTTATTTATATTAATACCACCATACATATAACACATCAGAATTTGAACCCAGAACTCAATCCTCTTCAGATCTCTAAAAACTGAGTTTAAGGATCAAATGATCTGGACTGTTGAAATTTGATCCAACGGCTACAAACAGATGCCCCTCTAAAAGTTATAATAATTGTAGTCGTTGAATCAAATTTCAACAATTCGTCAGGTGTGAGGTTTTATCACCAAAAACCTCGGTATTAGTTGGAGTGGAGTTAGGATATTTAAACTCTTCTTTTCTTAGTGATATGGACGATGTGAGATATTTCAACAAATCACTACTTAATTTAGTTTGTTTTTGGCTTACGGTTGTAAAGTAGGGATAGGGATTTAGTTAATTGGATTTGAAAGCGAGTTTAATCAATTTCAGATTTATGTACTTTTTAAAATAAAATTTAGGTGATTCCTATAATGTAGATAATATGAATGGACCATATAATTGTCACACTGCCTATGGTTCAATCAATTTACTCATTTTAAAATTACAACGAAGAGAGGTGTGGTACGTGTAAAAAAAGTGTGCATTAATTATTCCTCCAACTATATCTTAGGTCCATCACATATCAATCTTATCGTGTACCCCATTTTATAAATTCAAACTTGTTAGGTCAACAGGAAATTCATCACTAATGTAGAGACGTCAACAGAGAATAGTACTGCTCATCTCTAGCTGCTTTTGCTTATGCTGAAGAGTGTGTTATTTATTTATTAGGAGCGTAGGTAGGACCAGGGGCGGAGCCACAGTGGGGTCAATGGGGTCGCACGACCCCTTGGAAGCCATGGAAATAACCTTAGAGGTCCCTTGGAGCTGCTGGTGCGACCCCTTGGAGCTGATGGTGCGACCTCTTGGAGCTGCACACCACGTGTTCAATGAAATGTCTGAAAGAAGAAAAAGACTTCGGTTGCAGGTTGAAAAAGAAGGAAGGGCGCGCGCGCGAGAAGAAAAAGACTTCGGTTACAGGTTCTGTGTAGAGTTTCGTTGTGTGCACCTCGTTAGTTTCATTACGAAGCTTTTACTCCTTTTTTTTCATGTCCATCTGAGCCTTTTGTTCTTCTGAGTTGAGGGTTTTAATCAAAGTGTAAATCTTCATCAGATTTGATCTTAATTTTCTTTTTATTTTACCATTGTGGAGCTTTTAAGTAGTGGTATGAGAAATTAGGAGGTTGGGTTTACAGGATTGGAAGGTTCATCAACATGGTTTACTGTAGGTGGGAAAGACGATGAAGAAAGGAAGACGACCTGCGTTTTTTTTTTTTTTATCTTCCTTCATTTTTTTTTTGTTGGTGCACGCATTATTCTTTTTTTTTAAAATTCTTTTTTAGTATTCTCCTTTTTTTTCATTTTAACACCAATTATTTTGTTAAAAATTATTAAAAAAATTTATTATTGTTCCATGCATAGATTAATCCGACACTGCACCAAACGCCCGACTAATTTAGTCAGTACTATCCGACGACTATTTATCCTATCCGACTGAAATAGTCAGTACAGTCCGAAGTACCAAACGAGGCTAAAAAAAATTTCACGCTGCGCACGCTATCCTTATTGACCCCCCAAACATTATTTCCTGGATCCGCCACTGGGTAGGACATTATTTTCATGTCACATTATTCCTCAGTTATAATTTAATGATGGTCTCAAAGCTTTAATAAAAAGTATTACGTGAGAGATTATCATGGTTGATATTTTTCACTTTTAAAATATATTAATAAAAAATAAAAACACACGTACAATGTAAGCGAGATGAAAACACAATGCCACCCCTCGAGCTCAATTATTATTCTTACATATTTTCTCAACTTTTTAAGCAGTTGCCTACTCTGATTCAAACCCTCAAACATATGGCAAGCCCTAGAGTTCAATCATTTGCACACCAAACCCTAACTACCGCCCATGCCAAACCCTAACTACCACCCATGCCCTAACTCATTCAAGCTCATTACCAAACAGCAGATCATTTTTCCTCAACTCAGATTTGACCCCAAACACTTCTTTCTCTGGCAGAATAACACTCACCACTCTTCCTCCATCACCAAACTCTTTAGCCCCAGCAGGCAGCAACAAAACAGCTCCTTCATCACCAACACCTTGTATGTTATAATGCACAAACCGGCTTATGTCCCTTCACTTCCAACCCATAAAAATCAACATCTTCCCAGTTCACAAACGTCAAGTTGGCTCCATACACAACAAAATCAGCTACTCCATTCTCATTCTCTATGGCCTCTTCGATTCGTGTTTTCTCGTTCTGGCCGGCTTGCTTGGCTAGCAAGTTTGCTAGTTCTTTTGGATCCATATCCGAAACCCTAAAATCTGCCTCAACTGTGCTTATAGTCTGACTGTTGCTGCATTCACCTTCTGTTCTCCTATTTGTATCATTTTTGCAAATTGTCACCAATTTTGGTTGTGGCCCTTCTCTAACTGTGGCTATGCATTTCCAAATTAGGGCACAAATAAGTTCAAAAATTGGAATTTGGTCACTTTGAATTGGACCTAATATCTTGACTTGCAAGTTGTTTAGCTGCGTGGCAGTTACAGGGAACGAGAATGTTTCCATCTTGCAATTATTGGGACTTATCCAATAGTCACCAACCGAGTCCACGTGTCTGATGGAGAGTGGTGGTGGTGATGGATTTTTTGCAAGTTTTTGTTGAACATTTGTGTTCGGATTTGCATAATTTGGTAGCTTGCTGATCTCCAGACCAGACATGACTTGCCCTAAGCCGTTGATGAAATCTGATGCTGCAAATGCATCTCCGAGGACATGAGACCAGCTGAGGCCTAGTGATATTCCTCCACATTTGAAATAAGTAACCTGCAGAAAATAAAGCATTATACCTAAAAATATTGTTTTAAAAATTTCCACTTAGCGCCATTTAGACTCTAGACGGATGGTTATCGTCCTGATTAATCCCTAAACGTTTGAATATTAAGAAAAGACGGCTAGACTTGCTTAGGCGTCCGCCTAGCCTGCCTAAGCACTTGCCTAGACTGCTTAGACCCGCTTAGGCACCCACTTAGATCACAACTCACCTAAACAGAAAATCGACAACTTTCATTTTGCATTTTATTTTTTTCAATAAAATATAAGAGACTTGTCGAATAACTGATCATACACTCATTATAGCTTGTTCCTCGTATTTTTAATATGTTCTAATACTTTATAATCTATATATTATTTTATTGTAATTTATGTATCCCAATACAATTATGTATTTTTTAAATATAAAAAATACTTATATGATATATGATAAAACATACTTGCCTAGATCCCGTCTAATTGCCTAGATGCTAGATCCCTAAATACTAGATCCAACCTCCCGCTCGACTAGCGTCCTTTCAAACCTTGTCTAAAAATACCAAAAGGTTGGTTTGTCCCTTAGCTTTTAAGAGTGTTGCATGCTAAGTCATCATAAGCCAATCAATCAAATTTAATGCCCAATATTAATGACTATTAGATTGGGAACATCAGCGTCTCTTAGAACTTGCCTAAAAATATCATTTGAATTAATTATATTTTTAAATTTAGTTCATTATTTAATACACTAATTAATTAAATGATGGTTGTGGTATATGAGGAGTCTTTCTCCTTTCTTTTCTTGGGTTTTGCAAACTATTCAAATGATGTGGGGTTTTGCAAATTTTTCAAATGATGTGGCTGTCCACATCAGATGTCACCTAAGGTGGTATAAAAATATTGTATGAATTGCATTACTTATATAAATTTGTAATGTTAAGTTATAACTCATTATGTCTTGTCCTTCAGGTTAAACGGCCGAATTTTTTTTTCTTTTATTTTTCGCAACATTTTTTCGCAAAATTTGTAACGAGTTTGATGTTAAGCTAAAAATAGCACGAATGATAAAACTAATCTGCTCTCAAATACTTCAATCACAATAATCATATAGAAAAAGGGAAGTAACTTTTTTTCTCAACTTGTAACAAATTACTGCCAACTTTTTAAGGTCTGGATATTCTTTGATTTAAAAAATAAAAAAAATTACCTGGAAGAGAACAACTGGAGAGAAGAATAGTTCAGGGCCAATGATTTGGTTAGAAGCAAGCAGCTTCTGAAGAGAGCAGTCCAACCCTAGCCATTCATCGAGGGTTTTATCACACTGCGCTTCAAGATACCTCACACCGCAATCGTTACACTTCAGATAGGGCCGGCCGGATTCGGATCTCCGAAACCGGCCGCATGTCCGGTAGCTGACACATAACCATGTGAACATAGCTTCCTTTATGCGGTTAGTGGTCATGCCTTGGGCCGCCTGGCTATCAAAGAAGTAGACTCCTCTAAGGTAGTGAAGCTTCATAGCCAAGTCCATGCCACTCGGGTTATGAACCACGTCCGAACCGGTAACCCTGGCTGGCCCGACCGATGAAAGCTTAATGCCATAGACCAAATTTTCTTGACTGGCTAAGACCATGGTGGTAGAGAAATGAGAGGGTGTTTGAGTGTTTAGGTTGGTGCCTAAGATTATGGTGTAGTTTGTAAATATATATGTGCAGGTGAGTAGTTGAGAAAGTTAAATGAGTGGTTGAGACAGTTATGACCCCTATTGCAGATGAACTGTCAATTGGTTGGTTCAGAAGAACAGTTAAGCGGCCTTCATTAAATTTCATCGGCCCAAACCTAGAAATAGAGCAAAAATAGTTGTATTTTCGTGTAATAAAATGCCATATTTAAAGGGTAATGCTTCTTATTCCATTATCAAGTCCTTGTTCTAAATTATGATCGCAAACCTCTAATATCACTGTACAAAAAGAACACTACTTGGCTGCTACAAGTTCTGCAAGTAGTGGCTCTTGCTTCTATCCAATTATAGATAAACACGTATCCAGTTTGTGTTTACAATTTCAATTATTTTAGACATGTTCATTTGTGATTGAGTAGAAGCAGGAGCTATTGTTGAATAGCCAAGTAGTGTTCTAAAATGAACTTGTTCCATTTTGAATATTTTCTTAATAAGAAAAAAAGGATCAGTATTATTTAATTTAAACGTTGTTAGCGTAATGCAATCACGTTAAGGTCTAATATCTTACATTTGCAATATAATATGATGTTTACAAGGTAAAATCCATTTTTTTTAATGAAAAATGTCTTTTTATCCAAAATGGTGTTTAAGATTGGCATAAGTCCTCACTTTGGTCCCTGACAGTGAAAATCGATAGACGTCGTCCTTGAGTTTGTCCATTATATGAAAAATCTGACAATATCCACGTTAAGTAGAGGGGTTGGTTTGACAAAACTACTCTTGAAAAGATTGTCACATAGTTGTTCACGTGACAATTTGACGAGAATATTGATAATTTCTTTGCATAATGATCAAAATGATTTACAGTGGACAAATATAGGAGCTACTTCTATCAATTTTCATTGTCAGTGACTAAAATGGTGAGTTATATTAATCTCAATGACCCTTTTAGATAAAAGAAAAAATAAATTAAAACTAGGAGCATGTTTAATAATTATTTAGTGTTTTTTTTTAGGCTTATTGTTTGGAATGCCTCATGAATTAATTTACAACCGTTACTTTACATTTTGATACTCTATATTCTTTTTGGACTAGAATTTTCTTCCCTCCTCTTTCCATTCCCTTCCATCCTCTCATCTCACATTCTCTATTTTGTCTTTCTCTTTCTATAAAAAAAATTCATATAAAATGTTGACGTGGTTTAACCATGACAGTTCAAATAGGAAGAGAGAGAATGAAAAGGGAAAAAAAAGGGGAGATAATCCTATTCCATTCTTTTTACCTGACTAACGCCTAAACCTGCAACCATTTCTACTTTTCCTCCCTTCCATAACTTTAATGAGGGACAAAATGACTTGTTTACTCTTAGAAGTTTTTCACATAGACAACACTTGACTAAGATGGAAGAAAGTTTGATGGACAATTCGAAAATCTAACAGCATGAGAAACTTAGCCAACTATATAAGTTCAGTGAGTTATTAGATAAAATATAAATATTGCCAATGCCTTGCAAGTTCTAAGGAAAATTGGCGAATATTACCTCTAATAAAAAAATTAAAAAAATTAAAAAATCAGTTGGATAGGAAACAAGCATATGCATGATTGGTCATGTTATTTTTATCACCTAAATATACAATAATTTGTACCATATGATATGGCTCATGATCTAACTCGCCACGTCAATTAAAAATAAATCCTTAATAAAAAAAAACTTTGAAATTAATCCGACCCTGATTTTTTTTTCTTATGTTTCTCCCATTCCTGCCTCCTCCTCCCTCTTCCGTCGCAGTCATGAGTCATGGCACCTAATTGCTTCTCACCGCTCCACTGATTTTTCAGGGAAGTTAAGGAAATTAATTAGGATCACTTTATTCAAGTGTATCTTTTTTGAAATTATTTATTTATTTATTTATTTGTGAAATAAAAGTGTTATATTCAGGTGGCCTATTCATTATGTGACTTATTAATCCAAATCTCCACCCTCGGAAAGGGATCCTCTTTGGATCCCTTCCATCTGAGTCTCATGACCCATAAATTCAAGCTGTTAAAATTTGATCTAACGGCTACAAACAGGAGGCTCTATTAAAAGTTATAATAACTTTAGCCATTTGATCAAATTTCAAGAGTCCAGATTGTGTGATCATGAGGCTCAGGTGGAAGGGATCCATACAGGATCCTTTTCCTCCACCCACCACCAAAATCATGAAACCATACAAATATGGAAACACTGAATGGGGAAGAACAATAATGAGAGGCCAAACGAATTATGCAACTACTTTCCCCTTTCCTCCTTTTATCTTAAAATTTATGTAAATAGGAGCTGCTCTATGTTACAAATCAAAATTGAGGTGGAGTTCCAAATATACCACATCTAGTTTTCTCAAATGCTTAATTAGGTGAGCTTCTCAGCTCCTAACCAAATGACAACAAAAAATGCACAAGCCTTGTATATATCTCTCTCCCTGTTGTACGCAAACAATTTCACTTGGTCGCGTTTATGAAACTTTCCGTTTTGAATGAATTAGCCGTTGGGGAAAACCACCTGTTGAATCCAAATAGCGAGCCCGTCGCCGAGCATGCGATTACGTGTTGAGTGTGTCCCCGTGACGTGTGACGACATTTGTGTTTGAGACGTGTTGAGTCATGATCACTGCAACAGTGCTTGATCACATGAACGCAGCTAGAAATCTCAAAAACCGTCGAAGGTGCCCAGAGTACGCCTTTGTAGCTTTTGCTCTAGTGTGGTCCTATCAAGGGTTGACCACACCACAGTTACGAGGTGAAGTGTACCCATTTGAGTTGTTCAATATGGAATGACATACGGCAGGGCATGAACATCAGCGGACTCTATCCGCAGAACCTCTGACCATCCCTCAGGTGTCTCCTCAAATCCTGAAGATTCCACCTTGGGTTTCTTTGATTGGGCATCACTGCACCCAAACAACCAATCTTGATCGTCATGATCAGGCACTTCGTCCAACTTCGGAACCAAATAAACATGGCTTAGATATCTGGAATCCGGATAGGGTGGTCTCATGCATGCTTCAGCAACAGGAACAACCTGTGTAGCTGTAGATGTCGGCTTTGCGGTGGAGACAGCCGATGACGGAGCTTCAACAATGCCATTTATCTTGAACCATACCGAAATTCCGAAAAAAATTCGGAAATTCCGAAATTTGGGAATAACGAAATTTCGGTTTTGGTTTCTGAAACCGTGTCCTAAAAAGAAATCGGTTTGGAATTTGGGATTCCATGGCGAACCAGCCCTAGTTGTTCACGTGACAATTTGACGAGAATATTGATAATGTTTTTGCATAATGATCAAAATGATTTACAGTGGACAAACATATGGGCTACTTCTATCAATTTCTATTGTCAGTGGTGGTGAGTTATAACAATCTCAATGACCATTTTGGATTAAAAAAAATTAATTAAAAGTACGAGCATGTTTGATAATTATTTAGTTTTTATTTTTTGAGGCTTATTGTTTGGAATGCCTCGTGAACTAATTTACAATCGTTACTTTACACTCTAAAACTCGATATTCTTTTTACCTCATTAACACCTAAACCTGCAACCATTTCTACTTTTCCTCCCTTCCATAACTCTTATGGCACGTTTACGTAACTATAATCAACTATGGAGGAATTAGATTAAGGAGGAATTGAATTAAGGAGGAATTGGATTGAGCAGAATCAAAATCCAGATTTCCATAAAAGCTGTTTACTAAAGTATTCTGGAATCATAATAGAAACAGTATTGAATACATAAAACTGTTTACTAATTCAACAGAATTGAAATATAAATCATCAGAATTACTAAAATACCCTTGCCACAATTCCTTTTATATGCTTATTTTCTTTTACTACAATTTGATATTATATAATAGTAAAAATTAAAAAATAAATAAAAACTCATTTATCTTATTTTGCTCAACACTCTACAGTCGCATCTTCTTCCTTTTGATTTTTCTCCCCATTTTTTCTCTCCTCCTCCCTCTCTTTTTTCTGGGAAATTTGGAAAAATAACCAAATTTTAGATCTCATATAGAATTATAACCACTATTTTAATTTTATGATAATTATAACCAAAACTTGATGTAAAAGTATTAATATACCCTTAATACTAGGGTTTCTTATAACAACCACAACACAACCTTTAAACTACCTTAAAATGTTGAGGATTACTGCAGATTGAGGCCACTGAATTAGATTTCTCTTTAATTAGCAGGACAAGCTACTAATTCCATGGCTAATTATTATTTTTTTAATTAGATACTTGGATTTAGTGTTTCATTGACTAAATTGCATACATTCAGATATATTTTTCTAGTGGATGAAGAAGAATATGAAATTGCATATGCAAAGTGAATAGTGAAAGCAAAAAAGTGATGAAGATTAATTTCTCATTTTAAGATAGTTTAAAGGTTTGTTTTGGTTGTTGTGAGAAACCCTAATATTAAGGGTATATTAGTACTTTTACATCAAGTTTTGGTTATAATTATCATAAAGTTAAAATAGTGGCTATAATTCTATATGGGATCTAAAATTTGATTATTTTTCCAAATTTCCCTTGTTATCTACCCGGAAATATCATTCTATGAAATGGGGCAAAAAGATTATTCTTCTCCTCCTTCCTCTCTATGTTACCTACCCGGAAATATCATTTTATGAAATGGGTTAGAAAAGTATTCCTCTCCTCCTTCCTTTGTTTTTATTTCCTTTTCTTTCCTCTCTTCCTTTGTTTTTCCCATTTTTCCTTTGCTCCTTCCTCTCTTTGTTACCTACTCCGCCGTCAGTACAGGTTAGATTTCAAAGGAATGGATCTTCAGATCCGAGAATTCACGTGCGCGCGACTAAGCTTCTGACGGCTACTTCGATCCTCACTTCGGTACCGTGCATGCTAAGATGGCGGTGCAGGATGCTGAAGCAGTAAGGGAGTCGGCGAGAGAAAGAAATAGATGAAGGGGAGGGTTGGGTGCTAAAGCGTTTTAAGGGCATTTTGGGAACG